GGACTCATCAGCCTTTAGCTCAGTTATATGGACACTCCTCTCTTGAGAACCACCACTACAACCTGTGTGTCTTCATCCTAAACAACACTGTAAGATGCAAGAAATAAGTTATGTTTGCATGCACACAACAGGACGTTCAAATGAAGCTTATATACTATATCTATTATTCTGCAATCATTCCACTTGTGAAATAATTAGATTATTTTGATCTCTGTGTGTGAACTTGTAGTCTTCAATTTAATTTACTTTCTTTCTCTCTCTCATCTTCCAGGGCAGTCAGATTCTTAGCGGTCTGTCTGCTGAAGAGCACAAAGCTCTATTACACTTAATCAAAAGGGCAATCCTTGCCACAGACCTGACCGTCTACATGGAGTACGTCTGAAACATTAAAAATGTCATAGAAGACGTAGATTACACATTAAGTCAGTCTTATTTTAACCCATGTTTCTTCTGGCTGTTTTTAATTTATTTTTTTTTTCAGAAGAAGAAAGGAGTTCTTTTCTCTTGCTAACAAAAGTGGAGTGAGCTGGAAAAGTGAGAAACAAAGAGACTTGCTCAGGTGAGAATCACATAAATTAGAATCAGAAGCATATTATATTGTTGTGCTTGGTAAACCAAGAGAATGCACTGTGTTGTAAGCTATTACTTTACCCCACAGGTCAATGCTGATGACAGCCAGTGACCTCTCTGCTATCACAAAGCCTTGGCCTGAACAAAAAAGAGTAGGTCTCACAAAGTAGCTCTGAATGAAAAATAAAACACTTCATGCTTCATCTCTCAATCCTTTCTCACTGCAACCTTAACCTCACTCTTCCGCCTAACAGATTGCCAGTTTGGTTGCCATGGAGTTCTTTGCACAGGGGGACAAAGAGAGGGAAGAGTTCAAAATCAAACCCATTGTAAGTGGAGCTTGCAGGATTTGTAGTGTGCCAAGGATTCTGAAAATGTTGAGTGGAACTCACATCCGGATAAAAAAGTGTGCGCACATAAAAAGGAATTTAAATCAATATTATTTTTTCATGATTGGAATCAAACAAGAATCCAATCATTTGTGAATATCTTGTTTTAGTCTGATGATAAATGTTTTTAAGTTTAAAAGGCATGCTGTTGTCTTATTTCTTGTTGCGCTACAATTGCATCTACCCCGTCGTATAACAGTATCACGGTGCCAAAGACTGTTCTTTGAAAAAATACATAACCACAAACACTGGTATGTCTCAGAATATCTTCACATTTTTGTCACTGTGGTTTAAAAAAATTCTTATTTTGTTTACACAGATTCAAAAAAGGGTTTTCATAAAATGTTACTGTTACTCTGTCTACACTATAACAAAAATAACAATATCTTTGAATACATAAAGCTTTATAAAGCCTGTTGTGTATTTCTGATGCATTTTTCCCCATTCAGAGTGAAGTAAATTTAATGTAGCTTGCAGTGTTTGGGGTTGAATTAATCTTCATATATAAATGTTCATATTCAAGTACTGCATACTTTTACAATTCTATCTGATCTTCTGTAAGTGCTTTAAGTGCTTTTTAACAGCCACTTTATGCTTACTTTTCACTAGGACATAATGAACAGAGAAAACAGCACTCGACTGCCGTATATGCAAGTTGAATACATTGATGAGGTCTGCTATCCACTCTACAAGGTGTGTTATTACTATTGGTATTGTGTAAGCAATGTGTAGATAACTGTATATTCTACTTGCATGTATGTGTCCTTATATATTTCATCACAGAATTCCCCTTGTTGCCATCTTGTTCCCTTAAGATCAGTTGTAATTTCCACTGTTCTATCAACAATCCCGTCTCTGTCTTTGCCTCTGTCCCTCAGACTGTATCGAGACTGTTTGACTCCTGCTCTCCTTTGCTAAATGGGTGTAAGAAGAACAGAGAAAACTGGCTGCAACTTGCTGATGAACAAGAAAAAGAAAACAATGAAAACATTAGTACAGACCCATCACTGCATGAAGACTTTAAGGGAGAGACACAGACAGACCAATGAACAGCGGACTGGAGAGAAGATGAAGACACGTGGCTTCAGAGGCTAAAAGGAGGCTTGCCCATATGTTCTATCTTCATTCTTCTAAGTGAAGATTGACCTATTGCTCACACATCAGAACTTTGATGAGCAAACTGGTTAATATGTTATGCAGTGGCCCTCACGGTTATGATTATTCCTGCACTTGTATTGCAAACAACTTATTGTGCCACATATATAATAGCAAATTAAATGCATTTACTGTATGTAAAGATGTACTAAATAGCTTCTCAAAGTACTTTACATTAAAAGCTACATTCACATTTATGTTCTCTCTGTATGGAGTGTTAGGTTAGGGGATGGACTGCTCTGCCTTCACATTGAGCCTACATTAATCTGTTTATTTAGCAGTGAAGCTTTGAAAGTCTGAAAAATGACTTTGATTATTTGCACACCATATCTGTATTTGTATTTTTTATCTGTGCTACACTGAGTTTCGTAAGACCTGTATCCAGATTTTCAAATGCATAAGTATTTTAAAAGTACTGCTTCCTTTCCACATACCATCAAATTAGTACAGTGATCTATAACATAATCAATTTTGTGAACTTGTATTCAACTATTTATTTTATTAGATTACTGACATCTACATATTTTTTTTTTTATCTGATTTGACTTTCTTTCCATAATGGCTCTTTGGAGCACTTTGACCCTGTGCTAATTCTATTAATTGTTCCCCTTTATTGGCTCTGACTTACAAGGTTATCTTGAAATTTGGCAGAACTGATAACAACTAATGTTATTTCCACCATCTGAAACTGAGCAATAAAGATATTTTTCACCACACATATACAGCATGCATTTTAAATAATTATCCAGCCTAAAATGTTCAAAGTATTGTCACGTACCTTCTATATGATTTGCATAACCTTGTTAATAGTAAGTAGTTATTTAGCTGAACTGTAGAGGCAAAAGGGGCAGATGAGTGTATAGTAAGCCAATTTATTATTATTATTA